CAGAAACAGTTCTTGTGTTAGATCTTCCTGGATGGCCCTGACAGGTCAGCACTATAACTCATGTGACCTCACGACACATCGTATATAGCTGCTTTTTGAAGTAGGTACGACTTCAAAAGTAAATATAGAAATCAATCATACAATCCTACAGCAAATAGTAATTAAGGTATTTATCCCACGGGCAATGAGAAAATTATTGACATTTATTACGTTTCATTAATCTCAGACACCAAAGATGAGACTACATGATCTGTAGTCAGGGGCACACAGATCGTGCTTGAGCTCAATGAATGTTGACTTTCCAAGTTTAGCATAATCCACGTCTAACTGATGGACATATATCTTGTGTAATGCTTTTGAATTAATGGAATAGTTCTTAGTTGACGTGGCCCCTCTACTAAGCAGGGCCACAGGTGGCCCAGTTGTCTGAGGCACCACAATTCGCTGTGCAGAGTTGTGTCCCTTGGGTAGGCCAGTAATGTATGATTGTGGGTTCAAATCTCGGTTAGCCCCGATTATGTTTCCAGGTTTGTCAGTGCCATACCCAAGGGACTCTAACATGCTACTATTTGTGTGTCAGAGTTGCATCCCTTTGTCGTGTCAGAATCTGCTGGTGGTAGGTTCAGTATCCAGTATCATGATGCTTGGATGAGAGCACCATGCCAGTGCTCTTGGGTTTCACCTGATACATTGTTTGAGGTTAACCTGAGTCTGCTAGCCTGAGACTAGTAATATGCAGGAGCGACTGGTGACATTTCCTTGTAAAGTACCACCTTTACCATCATATAGATGGCAACTCTGTCGCAGGCTACCACTTTTACCACCTTTTATAGATGGCAACTCCGTGGCAGGACTAGTGACATTTCCTTGTGGACTACCACTTTTACTATTAGGTAGATGGCAACTCTGTAGCAGGACTAGTGACATTTCCTTGTGGACTACCACTTGTACTGTTAGGTAGATGGCAACTCTGTAGCAGGACTAGTGTTATACCCTTGTGGACTACCACTTATACCATTAGATAGATTGCAACTCTGTAGCAGGACTAGTGACATTTCCTTGTGGACTACCACTTGTACTATTAGGTAGATGGCAACTCTGTAGCAGGACTAGTGTTATACCCTTGTGGACTACCACTTATACCATTAGATAGATTGCAACTCTGTAGCAGGACTAGTGACATTTCCTTGTGGACTACCACTTTCACCATTAGGTAGATGGCAACTCTGTAGCAGGACTAGTGACATTTCCGTGTGGACTACCACTTGTACTGTTAGGTAGATGGCACCTCTGTAGCAGGACTAGTGACATTTCCTTGTGGATTACCACTTTTACTATTAGGTAGATTGCAACTCCGTGGCAAGACTAGTGACATTTCCTTGTGGACTACCACTTTTACTGTTAGGTAGATGGCCACTCTGTAGCAGGACTAGTGTCATTCCTTGTGGACTACCACTTTTACTGTTAGATAGATTGCAACTATGTAGCAGGACTAGTGTTATACCCTTGTGGACTACCACTTATACCATTAGATAGATTGCAACTCTGTAGCAGGACTAGTGACATTTCCGTGTGGACTACCACTTTCACCATTAGGTAGATGGCAACTCTGTAGCAGGACTAGTGACATTTCCTTGTGGACTACCACTTTTACTGTTAGGTAGATGGCACCTCTGTAGCAGGACTAGTAACATTTCCTTGTGGATTACCACTTTTACTATTAGGTAGATGGCAACTCTGGCAGGACTAGTGACATTTCCTTGTGGACTACCACTTTTACTGTTAGGTAGATGGCACCTCTGTAGCAGGACTAGTGACATTTCCTTGTGGACTACCACTTTTACTATGAGGTAGATGGCAACTCTGGCAGGACTAGTGACATTTCCTTGTGGATTACCACTTGTACTGTTAGGTAGATGGCAACTCTGTAGCAGACTAGTGACATTTCTTTGTGGACTACCACTTTTACTGTTAGGTAGATGGCAACTCTGTAGCAGACTAGTGACATTTCCTTGTGGACTACCACTTTTACTGTTAGGTAGATGGCACCTCTGTAGCAGGACTAGTAACATTTCCTTGTGGATTACCACTTTTACTATTAGGTAGATGGCAACTCTGGCAGGACTAGTGACATTTCCTTGTGGACTACCACTTTAACTGTTAGGTAGATGGCCACTCTGTAGCAGGACTAGTGACATTTCCTTGTGGACTACCACTTATACTATTAGATAGATTGCACCTCTGTAGCAGGACTAGTGACATTTCCTTGTGGATTACCACTTTTACTATTAGGTAGATGGCAACTCTGGCAGGACTAGTGACATTTCCTTGTGGACTACCACTTGTACTGTTAGGTAGATGGCAACTCTGTAGCAGACTAGTGACATTTCCTTGTGGACTACCACTTTTACTGTTAGGTAGATGGCCACTCTGTAGCAGGATTAGTGACATTTCCTAGTGGACTACCACTTTTACCATTAGGTAGATGGCCACTCTGTAGCAGGACTTGTGACATTTAATAGTGGACTACCACTTTTGCCATTAGGCAGATAGCAACTTTGCAGCAGATTACGTTTGTGGACTATAAGTGCTAAAAAAGAAAATTCTCTTACTCTAAACTTAGTAAACATCTACAGTCTACGTCATTTTAAGCTTTACTTTATGCTGAGCTAATGTGAGTGATACAGCTGAAATCTTGTTGCAAGCAGTGTTAAGTCAAATTCACATGCAGTGAGACACATTTGTGATCCAAAACCCTGGCTTCCACAGGAGATATCACTGGTCTAAGATCAGTCCTTGGAGATCACAGATCACAGACCACTGGGAGGTGATCAGTTGCCATGACGTCACAATAAAATGACATCAATAATCCCTCTGAACTCCTCTGTGGTTTAGTGGTAGAGCATCTGCCTACAGAGTGGGAGGTCAGGGGTTTGATCCCCAGCTGCATCATATGTTAAGATGTTAAGAGATGGTACTTGTTGTTACACTGCCTGGCACTCAACATTGAGGGGATAAAACAAGGACTGGTCAGTTTGGAGTCAGTGTACTGTGTCTGGGTGGGGTATTCATATTAAACTGTGGCATGGTATCTCAGTGGGCTAGCACTGTAAAATCGGCATTAGTACTTTTTACACTTAAGGCACTTTCTATTTCTGTTTACAGACTGAAAAAGTTGGAAAAATGAAGTTGGATAATAAATAGAATATTGCCTTTATATCTTTTGATATCAAATATATAAACACGAGTCGATAATTTTTTTAATTCCTTGCCAGGCCTTGAGATTATTTAACATACTTGATATCAAAAGATTGGACAGATTTTCTGTTAGCCCCACTCAACTGCTCAGTAGTATTAGCTGCAGACATGTATATATATGTGAACAGTTGAATGACAGTCCTGTCGTTTGTTTAGTCAACCAGTCTGTATCCACTCCTTATGTCGTGATAGAGGGAATGTTTGTAGATATCGTCTGTTGTATAAGCAAATACCAGCACGCCTTGATGTTTGAAATCGTGACGAAAAAAAGAAGAGATAACTGGATTTAGCACAAGCGAACATTCATTCTGATTTATAGTTTTAAATCATTTGAGATCATTCTCAGGGTTACTTAGTCACCAACTATTAATAAGCTGTTTGTTGGAAACAGCTGCATATGTGTGTGCTTAAACAGATTTATCTACCTCCATGATAATTTATTGAGGCAAAATAGGTGGGCAGATTTACCTGCAGAATTACCTCCCTCAGGAACTCAAACGACAATTTTCTCGGACAATTTGCCAAGATGCAGGAGGCCCAATAGAAAAGGTACATGTTGTCAGGGTTGGTAATAGGTTCATTTCCAAACAAACTGTTTTTACGGAAATAAAAAAAGATTCCCAGTACCCCAGTACCCCAATACCTTACCCCCTCATCTTGCCGAACATGTAGAGGTATGTGAAACCCTTCAATATTCTGTTTTTCTTGAGCCTTAGGGAGCAGTTCAAAAGTTCAATGTTGGATAAAAAAATATATTCCTTAAATTTTGAGACATACCCCCATCCACACCAAAAAACTTGATTGTTCAAATGTTGAAATTCTCCAAGATATTTTATGTATCAAGTGATGTCTACTTCATAATTATTTATAAAGCTGGTGGTGAGGCAAAGCTTTCGATAGCAGGCTTTTAGCTCACCTGACTGAAAGTGAAATGTGTTTGTGTCATGGCCAGATGAGACTGTCATGCTTCCTGCGTTAAATGGGGGCACAGGTGGCCCAGTTGTCTAAGGCAATGAAATTCGCTGTGCAGAGTTGCATCCCTTGGGCACACCAGGGATTATGGGTTCGAATTCCAGTTCGCCCCGATTATGTTTCTAGGTATGTCAGCACTATACCCGTGCTCGTGGGTTACACCGAAGTGGTAAACGTCTAAGACCTGCATCACTTCGGGCTTTCCTCCCACATTAAGCTGACACGCCATTAAACAACAAACAAACAAAATAATGCTAGTTTTGAGTTCTCAAGATTAATTTGAATAACAATGATGATGTTAGGTGACTATCTTTGTTGACATTTTGAAACTGTCCACTCAAGATACAGGTGAGCTTCAGTGCCGTGGCACCAGTTTTGTGCCATGATGGAAATGGCCCTTTCAAATTCAGGGTAAAAATGTGACAATTCGATTTGTTGTTTTTTGAGTTGAACTGTAATTCCCCTGAAAAAATATTTTGGCCTATGGACAACTTCCAGACCTGATGCTAACCTCTCCACACAAACACACCTAACAGTTGAACTCTTCTCTAAGTCTTTGCACTTTCATTGAGACCATTGGATGATGTGACAGGCAGCTGTATACTCCCCAAGGAGCTGAGAATGAAAATCGTGTGTACACTGATCTATTGAACAGGGTAATAATAATGTAGGGCCATAAGCTTTCATTTGAGTGGAGCTTTACATATTAAACATGGACCTGTTGTTGTTGTTGTTTTTGTTGTTGTAGCTATCTTATTTCTTTGATTCAGAACAATCTTAGCCTCGGAGGAGCTGGTGAGGTACGACCGAGCAAGGGTATTTCTAGATGAAGACTATACTGCTGCAGACAAATTCACGGTGAGTTGCACCAGCATGTTTCTGTATAGGGACATTCGTCTGAGTATGAAATATCTGTGCACTGCTGGTGGAAGGTGAATTACACTGAAATGGTTATTTTGCAAAATGTATATGAATTGGTTTGGTTTGGTTTGTTGTTTTACACCGCACTCAGCAATATTCCAAGTGTATGACGGCGGTCTGTAAATAATCAAGTCTGGACCAGACAATCCAGTGATTGACATCATGAACATCAATCCACACAATTGGGATTGATGACATGCATCAACCAAGTCAGCGAGCCTGACCACCAGATCCCGTTAGTCACCTTTTACGACAAGCATAGTCGCCTTTTACGGAAAGCATGGGTTGCTGAAGACCAATTCTACCCCTGATCTTCACGGGTTGCAAAATGTATAACAAAGATGGCTAAATGCAACTCATTATCCCATCACAATTTTCCTTAGAAATAATTCTTGTTGATATTCTTTACAATTGTTTGATAATTATTATCAGTTTTGTATAAGGGGGTCATGGGTGCTGTTGTATTTTAATACTATTGCTATTTATGTTTTAACATCAGGGCTAAGATGGGGACCACTTCACTATTATGCTTAATGTCAAACACTTACTCCTACATTTGTGCATTTTTTTATGTTTCCCCTTTGTACATTTTTTACATTTCGCATGAAAATCTGGGTTAGAATTGGTCTTCATCAACCCATGCTTGTCGCAAAGGTTGGTGAGACTCATGACTTGGTTGATGCATGTCATCATATTCCAATTGCATAGATCAATGCTCATGATGTCAATCACTGGATTGTCTAGTTCAGACCTGATTATTCACAGACTGCAGTCATATTTCTGAGTGAGGGGTTAAACAACAAACAAGCAAACATTGTTGTGTATTCAGTTCTCTTTACAATACAGTGATTTAGTTTTATTTATTATCCCGCGCCCAACAAAGTTGGTGGGGGATATAGAAAGGGGCTCCGTCTGTACGTCCGTCCGTCACGTTTCGTTTCCAGAGCATAACTCAGAAACTTTGCAGGTCTGTCAAGTACATGCTGAACTGGAATTTTTTTTTTTTTATGTTTCCATGGCAACAAGATGGACTTTGGTTCTGTGAGGGTAGGGTTTGTTTCCGAAGCATAACTCATAAACCGTTCAATATGTTTTCATCAAACTTTGCAGGTCTGTCAGGTACATGCTGAACTGGTGCCTTTTGCTATTTAGAAATTTTAGAAATTTTTATTTTTTACGTTTCCTTGGCAACAAGATGGACTTAGGTTCTGTGAGGGTAGGGTTCATTTCCGGAGCTTAACTCATAAACCGTTCTATATTTTTTCATGAAACTTTGCAGGTTTGTCAGGTACATGCTGAACTGGTGCCTTTTGCTATTAAGAAATTTTAGAAATTTGTATTTTTTTACGTTTCCATGGCAGCAAGATGGACTAAGGTTCCAAACTCTTTCTTTTTTTTACAATTTCGATGACAAGTTCCAACTCGGTTAAAAAAGGTTATGGTTTGTTTAGATTTAATTATGTCATAAATTCTGCACCACGGGCGGGGGATATAGCCACGTTAGTGGCAAACTCTTGTTTATAATGATATGAATAATTTCAAAGCTGTAAATTTTGACAGACTTTCTTTCTGAGTTTACTATGATTAAAAAAACTTGTGAGAATATATTGTATCCGCCAGCTAAGCCACTTGAACTGACACGGAATAGCCCTCGTATCGAGGTTCACTTGAACAGCCTCTCTTTTTATGATTCGTGTCATGCAATTTATAGACACTGACTCAGAGTTGACAAACGCTGTAAATTTGATTGTTTGTGTAACTAAAAAAAGCCATTTATTTCTTTGCACTTTGCAAAACAATAATCATACAGTGCAGTGGATAGGAATGCAGAAGATGGGATGGTGTGTCTAGTTGATGCAGAAGTGTTCTCTAACCCCCTGGATGCCATATAAGTCTTTTAACACTCATTTCCAAATTGAATAAAATTGAAATGTCATCAAGAAGATTCTCTGTTCTATAGTATCTGCAGTCATTTTACACAAAGCAAAATTACTGTAGATGACCCCTGAAAACAAGGTACATCCTAAATATCGTTTTTTTGTTCTACAGAATAACCATTCACATGTTAGTTTGTGTCAATTTTGAAGTCTAAATATCAAATATTTACTCTGAAAATTCAATTTAAAAAAATAGCACATTAGTGATCATGGGTGTCTGTAGTGTATCGACCGCCTCCGTGGTCTAATGGTAGAGCGTCCGCCCGAAGAGCGGAAGGTCCGGGGTTCGATCCCGAGCCGCGTCCTACCAAAAGACGTTAAAAGATGGTACTTGTTGTTACACTGTCTGGCGCTCGGCATTAAGGGGCTAAAACAAGGACTGGTCGGCTCGGAGTCAGTATACTGTGTCTGAGTGGTGTATTTATGTTTAACTGCGGCATGGTATCTCAGTGAGCTGGCACTATAAATCGGCATCAGTCCGGACTAGGACAAGCAGCCACACACACACACATACACGTGCATGCAAGTCGCTATATAAGTGCAATAATCTTGGACGCGACGTTAAACCCCATTTCACCTCACCTGTAGCGTATCAAATCACCAATGAAACATTGTCAATAACCCTGGATTTGTTTAGCATGTGTTAGAAACCAAAACAGCATAAGGGAACATTCCACCATACTGGAAAGTGTTTACAAAGTCACGTTTTTGTGTTATGAGACCCCCATGACATCACCACATTTCACACACAGCTGTGATACATTCAACCCTGAATCATGCATACATTTTAGCATCAAATGACAGATTGTCTTTGTCACCAACTCAAACAGTCTTGATGAAATCAAGCAAAATATATCATGTGTGAAATTGAATGCTCTACTCTGAAAAACATACTTGTTTGAAAAGGGAAACAAATCAAAATCAGATTTTATGGATGTAGCAATTTTTAATATTTTGACAGATCCATTTACAGTTTCTTTGATATTTTTTTGTTTACTTTATGTCTATAAAAACTTGAAAAATAAACCGAACATGATCTACCCAATCTCAAGGGCGAGCGTAATACAATTTGTGTAAAATAAAAAAAATGGGGCTATCGGGTAGCTTAGTGGTAAAAGTGTTCGCTCGTCACGCTAAAGACCCAGGTTCGATTCCCAACATGGGTACAGTGTGTGAAGCCCATTTCTGGTGTCTCCCTTCCATGATATCGCTGGAATATTGCTAAAAGTGGTGTAAAACCAAACTCACTCACTCACCATATTAAAATTGGCATTCTTTTCATATTTTATTCTCAAAATATATGAATGATACTGAGACAACAGGAAGAGAAATAACCCATTCTGAAGAAATGGACGCACATCCGATATTAAAAATATATTTGTTTCTTCAGGTCTTTGTTTTGAGTATTGGATTTATATAATATTGTTGTCTAACAGGTGTGTGTCTTGTGAAATTAAATTACTAAAGTCATTTCTATCATTTCAGAGACTTTGTTTTCTTGTTAAAAGCAATGATTTTTTTGTGCGTTTTACAAATCCATTAGATGAGATATACGGTAATTAATAAAACAATGTTGTCTTTTTCTGATGTCACCGAGGACATAAAACAAGCCATGATGTCAAACGAAAGGTGTCAAATGTTCAGTAAGACATTACATTTGATGATCAGGCTGGTACTCCATAAATAACCAGGAGTAAATGAGTCAAATTCCACTTAAACAATCCAGTGTTCGATTACTAACACTGGTCTGCTGGTCCGAGTCAAGTATATTTCCTTAAGGATTGGTAAATTTAAATAAATGCTGATCCGGTGGTCTAGTGTTACTTTAGGGATGTTCAAAGTAAGCTTAAGTTTATATGACTTTTGAAATCAGTGATAGATCAACACTAAACTCAAAGCAACACCAGCCTAAATGACCCTGCGTGGTACAGTGGCTACCTTCTTGATGGGTTCTTACTTAAAATACATACGCTCACTTGGTGTATAAACGTGATATATTATCTGCCTTTTAAAATCATTTTTGGTCAGCACCATTGTATCTTGTGGAGATCCAACAGGACCAGGTTTTTTTTTTGTGTACCTGGTCCCTTGGAGAAACTTTGGTCAGTGTCAAACACAGGTGATCTAGGAATCTAGGAACTTCATTGTTAGATAGGGCCATCCATTTCACTAGTACTTCTTTTTGATGAAGAATGATATCAAAATATAATTTTTGATGAGTTATGATGATGTACCTAAAGGTAAATGGTTTCAATATCAATATTTGTGTTGAAATGTACTTGCAGGAAAGTAACTGTGCTTCAGAAGAGGGATGGTGTAACAAATCAATTAACAGTGACAATATCGGGTATGACCACCATGCTAGCCATGGTTAAGCCATTTGACCATCCATAATTAAGTCTCTAACGTCACGGTTAATGCTTGCCATTTTAACTAGCCAGAAGTCTCTAACACCATGGTTAGTGTTAACCATTTTAACCAACCAGAAGTATCCAGTGCCATGGTTAATGCTTGCCATTTTAACCAGCCAGAAGTCTCTAGCACCAGGGTTTATGTTAGCCATTTTAACCAGCCAGAAGTCTCTAGCGCGATGGTTAATGCTTGCCATTTTAACCAACCAGAAGACTTTAGCGCCATGGTTAATGCTTGCCATTTTAACCAACCAGAAGACTTTAGCGCCATGGTTAATGCTTGCCATTTTAACCAACCAGAAGATTTTAGCGCCATGGTTAATGCTAGCCATTTTAACCAACCAGAAGTCTCTAGCGCCATGGTTAATGTTAGCCATTTTAACCAACCAGAAGATTTTAGCGCCATGGTTAATGCTTGCCATTTTAACCAACCAGAAGATTTTAGCGCCATGGTTAATGCTAGCCATTTTTACAAACCAGAAGTCTCTAGCTCCATGGTTAATGTTAGCCATTTTAACCAACCAAAAATCTCTGTAAACTTTTGCAAGTTGTGCTTGAAATAGATTTTATCTTGCTAAGCAAATAATCT